CCAATTAAGAATACAGTAAAATTAATCTGGCACAATTTTGGAAATTTGTTGATTTCAAAAAGACAATTCATTTTGTTTGGGAATCAACATTAACTTATGGTTAACAAAGAAATGCAAAATGTCATCTTGAAAATTATAAAACAACAGAGTAAGCATTTCCAAGATTAACCCTCATCCCAAATCAAACATTATAAAGCAAATATTTTCAAAAATTTGTTCTTTACAACATTTGATGTGAGAATGAGATTTAATTTATTGATTAATATGAGACACATTTGTATGAACCTCCACAATTACACTTATAACAGGTTTCCTGTCTGTAATTCAAGTAATTACTAAACCTGTAAGGGTCTCAATAAGTATAGGTGAAGAATGGAAAGAAAGGATAAATTAAGGAGGTCTAGAGCAGGTTTAAACCCCCAAAACATCTATGGTGATTAGCATCTTATTGTGCATAATCTAGCTGATTAGAATGAAATTTAACCTGAAAAACACCACCTGTATGTTATTTTCCAAGAGTAAAAATTAATTGATTTTAATTACAGATAGGAGTAAGAAAAAGATGTCCTAATAATTAACAACAACTTACTAACAGTTCTCATGTTATATGACTGACAGTCCAAAACAATTCTCAATATAATTTTCATTTTAAGACTAATTAATTTGATACCACATTTGTTGTCACCATCATATTTAGAACAAAGATTATTACTTGTTTTGACATTAGTAAGATTACAAAACTAACAGTTTTCTTTACTAAATGACAAATTATTTTACACATTTACTAGCTATAATTTGTGTATTAGAATCTGAAACCATTCATCACAAAACCATCATAATTTTTAGAATAAATATGAAATAATAAGATGATTTTTAAGCTCTATTTTACATGCTTATAGCTTAAAAATTTATTTATTTATTTATTTATTTATTTGTAAGTGAAACTATTTATATAAGTGGATTATAAGTTTTCTATTCAAATATGTAAAATATTTAAATAAAAAATGATAAAACTTTCTAAATTTATGAAATATAAAGCTAAAAATATATTATTTATGGCTTTAAATACAAAATTTTCATATCAAAATGTCAAAAGACTTAGTTTACAATACAAAAAAAGTAATGCACTTACAACTTTTATGAAATAGTAAAAAAACTTTACAAAATTGCTTTTCTGTAAGTACAAAAAAGACATTTTCATATTGATCACAAGTTCGACCAGGTCCACAAAGAGTTTACTGATATTAAAGAATGGGTTAACATAGCCAAATCAAGCTCACAAAAATTTCTGACAACATGACCCAGACCAGAAATCAAGATCCCAGATGGCTGACGACAAAGTTTGTCAACATGCCAATACTTTGTCTCAACCATCGACATCGCGATGTGATAACTTTAAGATCTCTTGTAAATGCTCACAACAGAAAAAATGTAAAAATAAATTTATCAAATAATAAAATAAAACAAAAAACTATAAAATATTTTAAATATTTGCATTAAATAAAAATTCTGAATAAATCTTAAATAATACATTTAAATAAGCATCTTCATAATGATAAGAGTACAGCAAATACTGAATACAGCAAATGAATAAATACTGTTGTAAAACTGTTTAGACATACTGAGTACATCAAAAGAAATATGATAAATAAATCAATGAATGAATTCCTATGTTTTTATAGTTTCTAAAATGATTCATCATGTATATGTTTGATACTAACGGCAAGCCACAAATTAAGAGCTGTTTCATTTTACATCATTCTGATTATTAATCAATTTGTCAAATTTTTTCATTCTAACTGCTTGTACACTAAATCAATTATATGAAGCACATGTATTAATAACATCATAATTTTAATAGGAGAAAGTACAAGTACTACATTTTGTTATTTTTACCACTATTAAAAAATACACTATAATTATATATAAAATTTATATAGATTCTCAATATACTTATAAAAAAAAGTAAATAAATAAAACCAAATAATTTATGATATCACCAATTACTGACGACATTTTCTTGTCTTATTAGGTTAAATGTATCAATATTCAATATAAGAGAACTTCATCAAAACAAATAATTTCTGCAATGTTTTGGCCAATTTTAGTTTTTTGTTGATTTACATAATGAAGACAAATTGAATTGTTAATACAAGGCACTAGCATATTTAGGTTATATGACATCTTAATAATTAAGATGCCATATAACCTAAATGTGCTGGTGATTCTGTAATGGATATCCATTACAGAAAAGTTTGACAACAATGGAGCTGCTAACATGAGTGAAGGAAGGGGTGACACCTCAATCCAAGCTACCTATAATAAATTATAGAGGTCTGTATCACATTTGAACTCATATCCAGGGAATATTTAAAATTCTGCCATCCATAAGCATGAAAGATTTTGTCACTCCTGATTACATCTCCCATACAAAGACCATTAAAAAGATATATGAAATATTCTGTAACTTAATGTTATTCTCTATGCCAAAAATTGCTGACTTCAAAATTTTGTCATCATAGATGTATGCTTACTTTTCCTATTCAGAAACAATCCATGGTTGTATTTACACAGCAGTAAGATAACATTTTACTGTGCAGTAGTGATGTGCAAATAGTAACTATACAACTTAATACTTAGTCTAAAAAAATACACATATATACATATGGGTTTATCACATCAGTGAATGAGATTAATTCACTGGTGTGAATTAATCTCATTCACTGTAATTCACAAATTCTTTAATGATTATTAACACCTTAATAAAATTTTACAATAAACTATGCTCTTTTAACATGTACATAATAAAGAATACTCAAAATGCTTTTTGGACACAATAATAGTCCCTCTTCATTACATTATAACTAACATTCTAGTTCAGTACATTCTAGTAACTATATATTACTTTTGCATCTGTTATTTGCAAATATATAAAGTAACAAATACTTTTTTGAAAAGTATTCATTACTCATTAATTTCAGAATTAACACAGCAAAAGGAGAATGACAATAAAAATGTTGATTTCAGTTTAACACTGCATTTTATAATTAAATATAAAACCATAAAATAAAACTTATTTCATACGTTAATCAACCTATTGGACTTATAGGATTACAAAAGAGTTACAAATGGTGGTATATTAACTCTTTTTATCTTAAGCATTAACAGTATAAGAAACAATTTGAATAATCATTGCAAGTTGATCAAACCTGTAAGGTGGCAGAAGTAAGTTAAATGAGGGAGGAAGAGGCCAAAAATTTCTAGGTCATCAGAAAAATTCTGAGGATCCAACTGTAAAAACCATTTAACAGAGAGAAAGGAATACTCTAATGACATGATCACTTGGTCATCAATAATACAACCATAAAAATTATTACAGCAGTTTAATTAATACAAGAACAAATTAATTATCATTCTCATATCAGAAAATTTCCTGCAATAAAACAAAACTGAACCCGAATTAAAAACTCAAAAAACAAAACAAATAAGTAAAAATAACAAAGCAACCAAGTCTAAGTTCAGCTGAGAGGACTTATCTGAGACACTAGTCCTAGTTACAAACTATAGAATAGTTTAAAAGCAGGAATGTCCAATTTTTTGGCTTCCTTGGGCCAAATTTGAAGAAAAAAATTGTCTCGAGCTGCACATAAACTATCAAACTACAAGTAAAGGTGACATGAGTAGATTTGCCATTTTAGGCCAAAACAAACAATGAAATAATTTATGTAGCCAAGTCAAAGTTTTGTAGCCCAAAAAGTAGTCCATTTTGACACAAAGTAACCAAATCTTTTCATTTCAGGTATAGTACATAATATGCATATAATTTATGATGAAAGTCATCTTAACTTCTGTCTTCAGCACTTGTGAACCTCATTGCACTAGCACTGCAGCAACTAACTTAACTGTCTTTTAACAAAGTGGCTTTAAGCAGTTTTACTAAGAAATAAACCCATATTTATATAACGAACTAACTGGATAAAATATACTACGAATAAAACACACCTTTAATAATCCAGCTAATAAAAATTAATAAAGTAAAAACGTTTTTGAAAACATTTTTACTTTATTAATTTTTATTAGCTGGATTATTAAAGGTGTGTTTTATTCGAAATAAACCCAATGTATATTTTTAAAGATTCTTTAATGTTATCTTGTAACAATTTTTTTAATAAAAAGTATTACAATGCCATGCAAATTTTAAAAAATTTAAAAAAATAAGTATATAAAAATCTCAATTTTAAGGAAGTTTATGATTTTATGTTGGGTCACAATTCAGCACTGGGCCACAACCCAGTGCTGTAATGAATGCAACCCAACACTAATACTTCATCCTTTAAAAACCAGGTTTTTAAAGGAATGAAGTATTGGGTCAAATTTTTAAAGGATGCAGTATTGGTCTCCTAGTTTAATTTTTTTAGTTAATCACTGACTAATAAAAAGAGTTTGATTAACTTAAAAACTCAATAGAAATAACCTCAATTATAATTTATAATTTGTATTATGGGTAAAGTGCTAAATCTCAGTACTTTATCCATAACACAAACAATTTATATACATACATATAGTAAACCTTCAATTTAACAGACAAAAAATTTGTCTGATAGGAGGAAAACTTTAAAAATTTTTTATTTGAAAACAGAGCATGCTAAAAGATTGAATTAAAAAGCTAATGATGTGTATAAATTACATAATGTACATACACAACATGTAATAACATTTTAACACATCTTGCACATTTTAAGTTTGTTATTAATGTATGTGTATGTGTGTGTGTGTTATGCTATATCTAGATATGCTGCATATGAGTAATTTTTAAAATAGGCAAGTGAGGTTTCAGCCAGGAATTTAGCTATATTTCTGCCAAATTCACAAAACTGGCAATCAGGTGATGTATTATTAGTACAGTATTGTAGTAAATTTATGAACTTACATGTTTTGGAAAGCTCTCATTTTGTTTTGTTTTCATTTTTCATTGTTTTGGAGTTTCTAATTTTGAAGATTTGCTGTGAATACTTAATATTTTTTATTATAAATACTTACGCCCTAATCTAGCATTTAATGTAACATGTTCATTATAAAGTATAGTATATCATTAAGAAAATATAATACACCATAAAATAATTTTCAAGAAGACAATACTAAAATATATCTTTGCTTAGCATTTTCTAGTCCATAACTCAATGAGTGAATAAGACAGAAGTCTTATTAGAAAATATAAAATGACAATTTCACAAAATAGGCTAAATTTGAATTGTCTATTTTTTATGAAATAGAAAATTTGCCCAATTCACGAAGTAAGCAATTGATGTGCCAATTTCACAAATTATGCAAAATTTTGTATAATTTATGTATAAATTAATTTGTAAAGAATATATTAGAAATTTAATTAAACTTCATCAATATTGTAATAAATAAAATAAATATGTTTAAATACTTACTCTATATCTGCCATCTTATCCAGCAAGTATATTTTCACATTAGGAGAGAACTCAACTACAATAAAAAAATCTTTTTTTAATATTTAAACTTAAAATATAAATTTATATATTATTTATAATTTACATTTAAAAATAAATCAATATAAACATAAAATATAAAACTTTCAGAAATTAAATTATTCACTAGCATTTATAACATAATACAATATAATATATAAGCATAATTCTTGCACTGATAAAGATTTAATTTCAAATTATTCATTCAGACAGAAATTCTCAATTGCTCTACATATGTGTTATCTAAAATTCTTTATACACTAGCATGCAAAACTTAAGCAACAATGTAATTTTTAAGCAGACAGCCATTGTTGCGATCAGTACAATGAACCAATTCAGTAGAAAGGTAATTCATGTTCAGGAAGAAGACATCACAGGTGACATGAGGGCATGCAAAAAACATGCAGTCAACACACACAGTGCAAGACTACAATAAACAGAAGGCTTTGATTTCATACTGTATATGTTCTACTCATTTTTGTTCTAGTATGCTTTCTTTATCCTTTAAGTACAAAATACTGTCTCTGAATTTCATGTCTCCCAGGTGATTTGTGGAGTTACAGCAAGTTTTGCTTACGTTTTGCACACCCATGTATGATACAAATAATTTAAAGTATTAAGTTAATAAAACTAATCATTAAAATATTAACTGTTTTTATGCAACAGAAAATGCAAAAATATTTGATAATGCACAATTTCATAAAATGTATTTATATAAAATTAATAAAATTCAATGTTAAAATAATGAAATCAAATACTTTTTAAGCAATAAATTTATGTCGCATATCCCTGACATGAACTTTCAGTGATGATTTTTCAAGAATATTTGTAAGGTTTAATATTTAAATTTAAAAATGATATTTACAAATTAATCAGAAGTATTATTTCAACATATAACAAACCTTTTTGCACTTTCATTTACTTCAATAAATTTATTAACACTTTATAAAAATATTTCATTTATATTTAACATTCTAGAAAGATTTAATTTTTAGAACTTACTTCTATGAATGTATAAATGAACTTGATTTAAAATATCTTGTAAGGCAAGACCTTTTAAAGTTTTCAGTTTGTTTATATCTGTTTTTTAATTAAAGATTAAATAATTTTCCAATAACTTAATAACAAATTATAAAATTTGCTGTCAAAATTAATTACATTTACATCATAATTAAAATTAATTTACAGATAAACTATTCAAATAAGTATTCATTAATTGCACATATAACATCTAACATAGTACAACAGTTCAGTGTAAAATTGAAACCATACAAATTAAGACTAAAATTTATAAGTAAAACAGAGGAATAGATTTTTCTATTTGTTTACTTAAGATATTATAAATTATCTCAATAAAATCTATTATCAAAGCTTGTTTTTATTTTTATTTCATTTTTTTACAAATTTCCTGATATCAAGCTAAATTTAATGCATACGTTATGAAGTTATATTGTACAAAATTCCATCTCTTTGAAAACATGTAAGGTGAGGATTAACAGCAACATGACTACAATGTTAGTGATTACAATAGTTATCATAAACTAAACATTAATTTCATGAATGAAAATAACAATAAAATCTTGATTTTCATCAAAAGATCTGACAAAAACTACAAATATGATAATGATAGATGTAGGAACTCTACATACAATGGAGGAAAAACAGTCAGATTTGCCTGTATATATTTACTTACTAAAAAAATCTACATCACTAATACTTTTTCCTTAATATAATATACCAAACAGTGAAGAATTAAGTCAAATTGAAATGTTTCTTAAAGGAGGAACTTCCATCCAGAGTGAAGTACATCAGCATCCTTCTTATTAATGTATACAACAGTAAAAGCTTATTTATAAATCTGCAGAATAAAGTTCTACAAACTTTTAGCCTTGGTTGTATCCGGCATCTGCTCTACACATTCCAGCTTGCTCCCATGATCTCTTTTCATATAACATAGCCACTTCACAGCCTTACAAAAATACATTGCTCAGATGTCAGCAATACTATTAATAAATTAAATTATATTAGAAGATTGGCAGTCTTACATGATTTTAGGGGAATACTGTTGAAAAGTTGATCATGACATATCAGCAGACAAAATTTTTGGAATTGTGAACTAACATTTGTGTGAATGCGCTATTGTTCTTTTTAAAAATTATCAGTCTAGAATTATTCTTCAGGATTACAAATTCTGATCAATAGATACAGAAAAATGATAAACTGAGGATGAACTGATGCAGGTTTAATTGTCATAGTTTAAGTAGAATATTTTTGGAGATCCTAGAAATTAAAGTTTCTAAGACAGTGGTACAAACAAGAATACTAAATCAAGATTTAAGTGTAGTTCATTTTAAAATAAAACACTAATTAATATTTTAAAATATTGTATAAAACTGAAACTCTATCATTCTTACAATTTTCTGACCATTTTAAACTAAAATCATGCAATTTGAGTACTGTGTAAATTGAGGGTTTTATGTATTATCAGCAAATTATAATTGTAGTGTATGTATTGATAAATNTCATTTGTGAGTGTTGTATCTTTGAGTATGTGTTTTCTGTAGTTTTTAGTATTTATGACCTGATCCTGTATGGCAATCATGAATCCTTCTGTCTCCCCAAAGAGGCATCCCCAATCTAACCAGCTGTTTGATGTAGTTTTGTCAACAAAATCCCAGGCCAGGTCATAAGAATGCCTGCCATGGAGTGCCTTTTGAGCCCATGATTGTTTGATGGTGTCTGTGCTTTTTATATGTTGTGTCATGTCCATATGTTGTGAGTGTAAGTTTAATGGTGTGTTATTTGAGTCTGCTAGAGTTACTGCTTTATGTAATTGTGATGTTTCTTGTTTCCTATAGAAAAACTCTCGCAGTGACTGTATTTGTTTGTAGTGAAGGTTAACTATGTCAATCAGGCCACGTCCGCCATCTTTACATGGAAGGGTTAATCTTTCTGTGGTAGATTTAGGATGATGTTGTTTATGCTTAGTAAGTGTTGTTCTTGTTTTCCTTTCGATCTGTGTGAGTGCAATGTATAACACCAAAAGAGTATGTGAGTACTGTGATGACATATGTGTTTATTGCTTTAACTGTGCGTTTTGCATTTAACTGTGTTCTGAGGATAGCATTTAACCTATTTTGGTATTCTTTAATTAATCTTTGCTTTATTTGTGTATGTTCTGTTAGTTTGGCCTGTTGGAATCCTAAATACTTGTAGAACTCCCCTCTTCCATGGATTCAATAACATCTCCATTTCCAAGTGCAAACTCTTCTTTCTTCAGGATTCCTTTTTCTGTGTGAAGTGTTTTGCATTTGTCTAAGCCAAACTCCATTTGTATGTCCTTGGTGTATGAATGTGTGATTTGTAGGAGCTGCTGAAGTTGTTTTTGTGTGAATGCATAAAGTTTTATGTTGTCCATGAGATGTGACAACATAAACTGTTGTTTTTTCATGTCTGATATTGTAGCCATATTGTGTGTTGTTTAACATGTTGGATAATGGGTTCAGCGCTAGGCAGAACCAGAGAGGACTCAAGGAATCTCCTTGAAAAATTCCTCGCCTAATGAATATTTTCTTTGTTTGTATGGAAGTGTTACTAACCCGAGATGTAGTGTTGTTCTCCAGAGCTGCATAGTGTTTTGGAATAATGCAGTGAGTGATGGATGTATTTTGTACATTTGTAGAATACGTAGCAGCCAATTGTGTGGAACACTGTCAAATACTTTTCTGTATTCAGTCTATATATGCCATGTTTATGTTTCTGTGTTGTTTGTGTGCTTGTCATAGAATGACTGAATGTATGAGTAACTGTTCTGTGCATCCCCTATGATTTCTACAGCAGGAGAATGTTGTTTTCTTCAAAGTGTTTGTATATTTTGTTTGCATTATAGCATGTCAGTAATTTGTAGTGTTGGAAGACATGTAATTGATCTGTATTGTGTGGGGTCTGTGGTATTGTTTTTAGGTTTCATGAAGGTGATGCCCTGAGTAAGAAGTTATTATTACTATTACTAATATTATTATTATAGACCACAATTCAAAAAGTGACTCAGTTTTTTAAATCAATTTCTCATATGCTTAATTACAAACCTAAAATTTTTGTAACATGTATTTTAATTTTACAGATAAAACAAAAAAAAAAGTTATATAAAATTAAAATAAATTATTAGTTTACACAGGAATATTTTTCTTAATATATTAAAGGTCAATAATACTGAAAGACATAGAAGAAGGTTTCTCAATTAATTTTGAACACAGGCAATTCTGTTAAATTAATCTAAAGAAAAAAATGAAAAGGTGTTTCCTTAAAAGTAATGATGTACAATTTTTTCCACTGCTCAAACTGTAATCACTATATTTAGTGATTTCTTTTCCATATAGAATCTATAAGGAAAAATATATATACAATACTTTTTAAAATAAGGTACCAATGCAATTTGGGTTATGATAGAGTTAAACTATGAGGCTTACGAGTATTTTACATGTTACAAAAAACAATTATAAAACACTAACATTGTTATAAGTCTTATTGAGTGAATGTTCACTGTCAATGTAAGTGACGAACTATCATTGGTTTACTGTGCTTACTATATATGATGTCATACCAACATGATTCTATTTGCATTCCTTTGTTAAAATTTATATTATTACATATCTCCAAATTTCAATATGCTCTTTAAATCTAACTTTGAATTGATTTCCTTCTTTATGCAGAATTTTAATATTATGTAAGATGGGTTTACAAAGATATTCATTTACATGTTGGGACCCAAGGTGAACCTGTATACTGTAAATGGATTGCAGTCAGATGTTCCTTAACTCTTATGTTTAATTTTCTTTTTTGTTTCTCCTATATAAACTTAAGGCAGGTCATATGTGCACAGTATTCTATATACTACTTGTAGGGTTGATTTATCTGCTTCATTGAAAATTAATAAAGTAAAAAGTCCAGAAAAAGAAAGTAAAAGTCAATTCACAAAAACAAATCTAAATTGAAAATGACAGGAAAGAAAATATCTAATAGCAACAGGTTAATAATATTTGAAGAAAAGCCAAAAATTAAATAAATGAAATTTGAGTTTTCAGAACATTAAAATTTAATATATACCTCTTCTAAGAGCATTTTGAGCATCCTGTGTCATTGCATCAGCTTCATCTAATATAACAAGCTTGAAACCAGATCTACAAAAATTAATTATTATAGTTTTACTACCATTTACTTTATTTTTATAAACATTCCAAAACATTTAAATTCAGTTCATACTTGAATATTGTTCGTGTACTTGCAAAATTAAGGATCTGCTGTCTAACAACTCCGATACCCCGGTCATCTGACGCATTTAACTGAAAAATATACCTTATATATAGCTATTTATACAAAGTAAGCTTTCAAATGTATAAATGTCTTTCCTAAATAAAGTTTGTAAGATTAGGTTTAATGTAATATTTTCTTTTAGCTTTATTTTTAACTATATGTCTAAAACCAATTTCAAATTTAATGATATTTTTTAATATTACCTCTAATACCATGGATCCAAATTCTTTTTGGCTATAAATTTGTTTTGCACATGCTAATATAGTAGAAGTTTTACCGGTACCCGGAGGACCATAAAACAAAAGATGAGGGAGTCGATCTTCTTGTATAAACTTATTTACTGAAAGTTGTAAAATTTAATTTATAAACAAAAAAGTTTAATTTTATTTAATAAAGAAATCATAACAGAATCTCCATGTTTTTAAAGTCTCTTAAATTCTGTTTTATTGGAAACAGACCCTTATTAATAATGCTCATATTTTTATGTTGTAAATGTAACAAAACATGTATGTTTTCGTATTAAAAAAAGTAAAAAATATGCATTAAATATCTTTTCTTGTCATATAAGTCAGAAATTCAAGTAACTTCATTTTTCAAAATGCATTTCAGCAAATTGTTTGGCTCTCTGCAATATAAAAACATTCAAAACTTTTTTTCACTCAGCATTATATCATTTACAAATCTTCAATCATTGTACTTTTTATGCACAGTGATAATAAATTTACTTTTTGAGTGTTTTTTTTCTATTATTTATATCCCATTAAAATTATTATACTTCTTTTGGCAGTGTCTATGGTAAAGTATTAATGCCTCCCTTTTAATTGCATCATTTTTGTTTTTCTATTAAAAAGTCTGTTTCCAATAAAATATCTCATGTCAGTCAGTGAATCACCAATATAGTTTTATATATATATGAAGCATTCAATGCCATAACATTGTAAATGCTATTTTTCTTTAAGTATGTTTTATCAAAAAAATTAATTCTAAATGCAATGTCTTCTGTTGAAAAAAAAATATTGTGGCAATATTGGTGCTGTAAGTGGTTGTATTTTAAAGTTGAATTTGTGTGAAAACCTTATGAAATTGTGTACTTCATAAATAGAAATATATGAAAAATCTTACTTGTATTTATGATGTCTTCATGAGAAATCAATTCATTTAATTTTGCTGGCCGATACTTTTCTACCCTGGAAAAGAATGTATATATTTATATAAAGATAAAATAATTAAATTATAAATAAACCATAACATTTCATTATAACATAACATTCAAATTCTCAGCCATATATACTGTATTACAATACTGATGATGCTCAATACAGTAGACTAATAGGAGAATGCCAATTATCTGTTGTATCCAAAGATGTCATGGTCAATTACAAAATGCACTTTATATAAGATGTGATAAGAGAAAGTCTATATTGTGGTAAATATAAAGTAAACACTATACTTCCAAGCTTGAATATAAACAACAGTTACCAGTGTGGAGTCCCTACACTAAATTGAGATTCACTCATTTACTTATATAGGACAGCACCAATCAATTTTGTGGAGGAGTAGAAAACAATTCAGATCTAAAATTCTTACTATTTTTTTTATCACGTGGCATTTTAAAGGAAATGTTGTTAATGAGTATTTTGCATAGTTAATATACTGTAAAAAATGTTGCTAAAATGTGATATGTCAAATGATATCAAAAAACATGTAATTAGAATAAGAGATACTGGTAAACAGCTACAAAAAACAAAAACATTAAAGATCAGTCAGAGTGCAATTTCAAAGATATTAAAACAGCATAAGAATGGTAAGTTGGAAAGTAAATGAAGTAATTGTGGATGGAAATGTTACGAGTAGTTCGGAGGAAATATTTTGAATCAAAATAACACATCTTCCAATTTTCATTGGAAGTTCACCTATAGTTAATTGTAAGGTGACCAATCATCCTCCTTTAGGGAGGACAATCCTTCCTCGAAACGTGCCCTCCTACTCATCCTCCTTTTCGATATTTGAAAACTAATCTGTAAATCTCCATATTCAATCGATGCCAAGCCGATCCATTGTGTGTGACGTGACGTGTTTATATTTGATACGACAATTCATCAAGGCTTGGTACAGTGCGGCAAAATGCAATTATGAGACGCATGGCTCACACAGAAGACCTTGAGAGAGCGTGCCACGTTGTTTACTCCTTACCGAAACATGACATGGCACATACACATGTAGTAGAGATTATTATAGTGTATTATTGTTGCAAAGAACAAAATGTTTCATTCATTTATGATATTTTTTCCTTCAATTTATTTGTGTTCTCCTTTTCATTGTACAAAAGTTGGTCATCTTATTAATTGGGACCTACCGCACCTAAGGTCTCGAGATTAAGGAAAGACAGATGACAGTGGGCATTAATAGGTTTACAATTTGTTCAAATTGCGGCCCAATAACCCCTCTCCATAGTAGTTTTTACCTGTTTTAAGGATACAACTCCTAATTATGGAATTATATCCTTAAAGGAACAGGACTTGGCAAACAATAACCAAACAGGCTAACACACAATCATACAATCGTCAAGTATCACATTGTTTTACAATATAAACATTCACTAATTACCGACACAAAACACTTCCCTCAGACTAACAAATTCATTTATGTAGTTTGATTTTGATAATTATTGGCGTAATTCAAAACGAAAATACACTGTATTAACTAATATAAACAAAATCATAATTTTTCTTATACAAAAATAAAATAATTTACCATGGTAAATTTATCTTTTTCTCCACTACGATATCCTCTTCTATCGCCATTTTGAACTTCTCCCGCCAAATTTGCCAAATTACCGTCATTTACAATCGCCAAAATTCGTTAAAACTAAAATATACATATTTATAATTTTTTATTAAATAATTATATTAATTTCCAATTATTTTTTACTTAACCAAATTAAATTTCTTTCTCTTAGCAATAGAGACATTACCAAATTCGCCTACCCAACTGACTCATGGGATATTTTCAATATGGCTTCCAAAAGTATGTGATGTTTTATTTCTTCGTAATGTAAAAAAGATGAGAAAAATACTTAATTATGTATCTTAATTACGTTTAATATATGAATATATTACTTCAGTTACTTTAACTTGACGGTTTTTTTTTTTAAATTTACTACTATTTATTGTGTATGTTGAATATATATTACTTTTTAACAGTTAATATTGTTAAAATAGGAAAATATAGCTCTGTGTTGATCTTTACATTCGAGAAATTGATAAATTTATTCTAATTTTTGTGTTTTAACATAACAGCATTGTGTCATGACTTTCTATTGATGTAGAATATAAATCCAGGGAATTTACAATCTTCAGACTCATGTATGATATACGCAGAAGTGGTACAATTACGTCTCCGAATGAGACGGTTGGGACCCGTAGTCAGTGCCGCGGACCCTACCCGTCGGAGCAAAAAAGTCGAAGGAACCGTACCTCTACGGTTCCTTCGCTCGATACACCCCAAAATGGGTTGCGTTGCTCCGCTAAAACCGTTACGTTTAACTATTTGGCCTGTGCGACTATGCCGGCTTTGAGTGGTACGATTGATTGATTGATTGATTGTGGAGTACTTGATGTTAAATAGTTTTAGGGGATTTGGGGCTGCACTGTGTGGGTGCTTTGTGTGAATGGTGGCCAGCACCGAAGTGCACAACCATGTGTAGAGTTGCTTGCCTTGAGCATGGAGAATAAGCAGTATACTGTATGTGGTAAAAACTAACCTTTAGAGGTGAGTATCTCTAGAAGGGTAGCATATACAGGTATGGTTCCTTTGACTTTTTTATTTGTACAGAGGATGTCTACAATTCTGGATGGGTGGGAAACCCTTCACTCGGAGTTTGTCTTACCTGCAGAAGTTACCTAAAATTAACTTCTACCAAAAGTCTAAGGTTTTGGTAGAGTGTAATCAAATTAGATCAGTAAATCATTTCCATTTCTTTGTTATTAATTACATATACAGTGGTTATAAAGTGCTTGAGATTGCGTTCTACATATATCAGCAATAAAATCTATTATATCATGTAAAGATCCACTGCGGTATGGCTTTCTTGAAGACTTGGTAATGGGTGCATTGCCTAGTAAAGTAGTTTTAATATAACTGAACAAGCAAACTAATGAAAATCTGTTTTGTTGGTTTGATTATTTGGACATGTTAAAGACACTTTACTAAGTGATGCATGTGGATGGGTAGGTTGCCAGATTGCAATTGTGGTTAGTGGTTGACTGATGACAAACTGGAATGTATTTTAGTTTATAATTGATTAATAATTAGTTGTGTAGACTTCTACATTAAACCTATACTTTGCTTGTAACCAATGCATTTTGCACATCTGATGGTGCTGCATACCATATTATCATCATTCTGTTTCATTTTGGCTGGCGAGAGACTATATATATAAACTGGAGAGTGGCAAAACACAAGACCTGATGATCCTAGTGATAAGTCACTTCAGGACATTATTAAAGAACAATTAAAGAAAGTCCATCTGGGTTTTTGTCCTTGTCTTTATTCTTGTTTAATAATACATTAGATTTAAGATAGCTACCAGTTAATTTTAAGTTACTTATCTGTATATTCACTGCTTCTCCCAGTTATTTCAGGTTATTCTGCTTCTTATAGGGCTTGTTAGCTTAGTTTCTGTATTATTTCAGTATTAGTTTGACTCCTTTAGTTTTAAACATTAAACTTTACTCTATCTAGCTTATATCTAGCTAGATAGAGCTAGATATAAGCTAGTTATTGGTGTATGCTTATTGGTGTATGCTAAAACTCTGGTTTTTTTTGTTTTTGACCCACAGCCTCACAGCTTAAAAACTGCACACCAACATTAAATGTAGAGGGAAGAGTAACTTTACATATGCCACTCAGAGGGATCCTTCCTTTCTCTTCTTTCTATCTCATCCTCCTTTCCTTCCCCTCTTCCCTCTCCTCCATCCAGCAGAAGGAAAGGGAAGAGGGAAAGGGAAAGAGGATGAAGAGATAGAAAGAAGTGAAAGGAAGGATCCCTCTGACAATGGCATATATGAAGCTAAATGCTTTGTGTAGGGCCATTGCCAGAGGTCTGATTTAATTGCTATTTTTTATTTAAACTTTTTTTACCAGAGAATTAAGAGCATTATTAGAAAATTATCCTTGTAATATTAAAATTTCAATCTATTTATTTGCAATAAATTAATTTATTAAACTTTTAAATATCTTTAAAATTTATGTTATAATAAAATATTTGTATTTTCTAGTGTTATGAATACATTTATACATTGTTGTTATAACTGAATTTTTGAAAACTTTGCTGTAAATATGACAAACAAAGAATTACAAATAGTAAGTATGATTTCAATTCATTTAATTTTATATTTTAAAATTGCTTTATTGAATAGTACAAGTTGAGTAATTGAATTGTTTGTAATATATTATTTTATTAAATAGGAAGAACTGGAGGTATTAGAATCAATATATGATGGCGATGAAAATTTTAGAAAAGTTTCTGATAATAAATTTCAATATAAGGTAAGATTTTCATTTAAAATGTGACTTTCTTTTGTAAAATATGTACAATAGAGTCCTGATTATCTGGAGGATTTTCATGTTATCTAGCTGCATGCATTTTTTTCTTTTTTTTTATGCTGGGCAAAATTCATAACAAAGATTTTTAAAAATATACTTTAGTGTGAGATGGTGGAAATTCCTATATTGGAACTGGTCTTTATTATTAACCTTGTTCGAGAGACGTAACAATTGTTGTTTGTAGCTACCTGAGAAAGTCTCCCGTTACATTTTTTTGAAGGCAACACGACGCTTTCTCGTGAACTATTAACCTTTGCACAGCCGAAATCGTCAATGAATATCGCCAGAGACGGCCGAAAACAGTCAGTTGTCGTCCGTCCTTCTGACACAGTCTTTCTGACCGCATCGATCAGTGCTCATTTTGGATACCTTGTGCCATTCTTGTGCTCGTGGACTTGTTATCACCCAACGAGAACTCCAATTTTTTTTCACCAGGTATTTATACAACTCGCGCTCATTATGTAAACTCTCTCTCTTCGCGACATTATCCAATTTAGTTTCAATTAAATCCTTGTTAAGTGTTAATTGTAGTTCGAGTCACTTCCCTTATGTTCTCTCCATCGGTTAACTTTATGAATCTGTCTGTCCACGTACGGGACCGCTCGCGCGATGGTGTGATGTAATCGCCATCTCAGTTTCTGTGTTCTGCTAAACATGGTGGTGTCAATCCTGACAGGGCACTAAGGAGGTGCTGACCCGAAAGGTCACAGTGGTGTCAGAGCGCGGGATTTTAAGGAAGGACTGTAATAACTGATACTAACTAGGAAAATGGAAGGGAAAGAAGGACATGTGCCACTTGGAGAGACAGCAGGAAGTGCTGCAGTAGGCAGACTTGGGGGCATGACTCCTCTCATACCCTCTTTTGCCGGATATCCAGATGGCCTTAAGGTCACGGATTTTTTTGAGTCCTTAGATGAGATTGGTAAATTGACAAATTGGACCAAGGCGCAATGCTTAGGAGTGGTGAAATTGTGATTAATGGGGATAGCCTGAGATTTTGCATGGAAGGATGCTACAATGAAAGATGAAACAATTTATGATGAGTTCAAAAAGCTTATGATCAAAAGATTTGAAAAGGAACCTATCTCTTTACAATTAGAAAAGTTTCACATTTGCGTGCAAGCGCCGGTAGAAGACGTGCAGACCTATGCCGTCCGATTGCAAACCTTAGTGGTAGAAGTTATTAAAGAGCAACCTAGTGATAATGCACAGGAACAGGAAGTTGTAAAATGGTGCCAACAAAAAGAATGAGACAAACAGTTGTTAGTGCAGTTTATGAGTGGACTCAATGATCGAATAAAGTGACACGTGATGTCAAAAGAACCCGATACCTTCGATAAGGCGGTGCGAATAGCTATTAGCAAAGAAAGTATAGAACAATTGATGGGAAGACACCAGGGAATAATAAGGACTGTAGATAACACTAGCGGAAAGGCTACTAACCATAACCCTTTAGAAGAAATGTTGACGAAAATTCAGGAGCAATTTCAATGACTGACACCCTCGGATTATAGTAGAAGAGATCCTCGACGTGGACCTCCCTGTGGTTGGTGTCCTCGGGATTATCGAGACTCACGACGACAATGTCAATCTTCAGGGGGACTAGGCGATGACTCCCGAGGGCCACGAGATACATACTTTGATAGAACAAGGAGGGAGAATCGGCTTTACATATGCCCCTCGATATGGAAAGAGGAATTTAACGAATAATCCTAGAGGTCAAGGAATCGGACAAGCTTGATCAATACCGCCTAGGAGACAAGCATATGGGTGAATTAATAAAGTAAACTGGCAAAGCTTAGAATGGGGACCAATCAAGGATCTACTAAGGATCCCCCGTATCCAAGGAGGGACCACTTCCAGTCAAATCATTTCTGATCATTGAGGATAACAAACGAATACCTAGCAGAAAGTGAGACTCAATTAATATATAGAAACCGAAGGGTAATTAAATCGCTGGGCCGTGATTTCGAACCGAATTTAGCTTGTCGTATCAATGGATATGCTGTTCGATTGGCCATAGATACCGGCTCTAAAGTAACGCTTCTTTCCTATGCTCTAGCTCAACGAATTGCTCGAGTACAACTTGATAGGAAAAAGGGAACAGTTTTATTCCAGAGTGTTACAGGCCATGGAATCATAACCTACGGAGCCATAGATGTTTGTTTTGAAATTGGCCCTTTACGGTTCTCATACTCTTGCTATATAGTTGATAATTTGATTACCCAACCATTTGATGGATTACTTGGATCATTACCTCACAAAGATTAACAATTTGTTTAGCAAGAGAGATATTAATCCTCCCCAAGGGAGAGGAGATCCCTTTCCAAAAGGGGCCCAAAAGACAGAGAACAACAACATTAGCACAGGTGGATAGAAAACAAAATCGTAAGGGCACCTATATAAATTTTGAAAAACACACGAGCCCCAGGCAGTCTTCACTTCCAGATATTTATAAAAATAGACCTCCGGAACCCAGATCCACAGAGAATTCAGAACCAACTCGAGAGGTAGTTCTGTTGACAGATTGTAATCTTTCTCCGAGAACGAAAGTAATTACAATGGGCCGAATCATCAGAGTGAAGAAAAAGGGCCAAGTTGGGATTATAGAAGTGGGGAAGCTTCAGCAGGATGGAGTTGTGGGAGCAGATATCCTAGTTAAAACTAAGAAAGGAGGACAAGTGCCTATTCGCATAACCAATTTCTCCACTCAACCGAGGAAGATTCCCAAGGGATAATGTATAGGGACCTTTCTTCGAGCTGTGGAAGACAAACCTTCCCCAACTTCGAAGCCTATCAATCTATCACCTAACCCAAACATTACCAAAGAGGAATTCAGTCGACTATTTGATTGGTCCCATATCGGGAAAGAAAAGAAAAAAACCATTACTAGATTTATTATATAAATATCACCATGTCTTTGCTACCCACGATTACGACTTAGCATATTGTCAGGTAGTCGAACATGAAATTAATACTGGAGATGCTTCTCCCATCTATCAACCTCCGTATCGGATACCCTATGCTCAGAGGGATAAAATGAACGAAATCATTGACAAATTACTAGAGAACAAAATAATAACCCATTCAAAATCACCATGGTCAGCGCCAACATTATTGGTTAAAAAGAAGGACCTATGGCATCTCGTCATAGACTATAGGAAATTAAATAAAGTGAGTAAAAACAACCCATATCCCTTACCTTTGGTGCAGGAAGCTCTCAGCTTGATGGGACAAGCAAAATACTTCTCCACCATGGACACCCTTTCGGGGTTCTGGCAATTAGCCCTAAAGGATAAGGAGAAATCCGCCTTTTCTAGTCCCGACGGACACTATCAGTGGAATCGTATGTCGATGGGTTTAGCAGGGAGCCCTGCCTCTTGGCAAAGGGCTGCGGACTTTATCCTTTATGGGTTAAAAGGAAAAACCTGCCTTGTCTATATGGACGATATCTTAACCTTCAGCTCAGACTTTCAGAGCCATTTAACACGGTTAGAACAAATCTTTTAACATCTGGCTGCTACCGGCTTAAAATTAAAACCAAAAAAATGCCATTTTTTGCAAAGACAGATTAAATTTTTGGGACATGAGGTATCAGACGAGGGGATACGACCAGACCTGGATAAAATCAATTGTGTATTGACTTTTCCTAAACCTGTTAGCAAACATGATATCAAATCATTCTTAGGCTTAACAGGATATTACTGGCATCATATAAAATCTTATGCCGATATTGCTAAACTGTTAATGAACCTATTAAAGAATGATGCTCAGTTCCAGTGGGGGGAGGAGCAAGAACAAAGTTTTGAAAGACTAAAAGAGATAATTACTTCGGCTTCACTGTTAAAATCCCCAGATTTCTCTAAACCTTTTATTTTGGCTACGGACGCCTCTAATGAAGCGATCGGTGCAGTATTATCACAGGAAGATGAAAGAGGGGAGATGCCCATTGCCTATGCAAGTTGTATATTACAGAAGCCCGAAAAGAATTATAGCACTACAGAGAAGGAGTGCCTAGCAGTATGGACTATGAAATATTTTAAACCATCTTTATATGGCAGGAAATTCACCATTATAACCAATCACCGCCCGTTGAGGTGGCTTATGAGTAATAAGGACTCTAGTTCAAACTCTCGCATCAGCCGATGGATTATATTTTTACAGGAATTTGACTTTACTATAACCCATAAAGCAGAAGATTACCATAAAAATGCAGATGCATTAAGTCATATCCCTGTTCGACAGATTACCTAGACGGAAGAACTTGTACCTATTTACTCCAAAACCCAAATTCGAGACTTACAGAGAGGAGATCCAAAATGGAATTCTGTCATCCAGAACTTGGAAAATAATATCACCATTCATCCTAACCTTGAGAAATTTTTCTTGGATGAAGAAGAAACCCTCTATCATCTACAACCTACCCATCAGGGGGATACTTTGGAACAATTAGTTATACCATCCATCTTAATACCATATATCTTACATACCTATCACAACACTCCAATTGGTGACCCCATAAAATGCAACAAAAACTTCAACCCTTATTTTTTAGGCAAACTATGAACCGAGATATAAAGAACTACTGTCAAAATTGTCAATGATATGCTCTACATAAACGAAAGGATAAACGAACTGAAGCTGAGTTACAGCTATTTCCTCATTTAACACATTTATTTGAACGTATTGCTATGGATATTGTAGGTCCTTTACCCATTACCAATAATGGAAATAAATATATATTAGTCTTTGTCGATCATTTTAGCCGCTATGCTGAGGCTATACTTCTACCTAACACTCTTAGTAAAACTATTGTTAAAGCCTTTGTTGTTAATATCATTTTGAGACATTCCACCCCAGTACAACTTATTACCGATAAAACTCCAAATTTAATCTCAAAAATGTTCAAGGAGGTATGTGAATTACTTCAAAGTAAACGACTG